AGTTTTCCAAATCTCAAAGACAGAAATTTTTTTAAAAAATTTTATCTAAAAGAAACATATACACAAAACAAATTGCATCAATCATAAAATAATCCAAAGAATATTATTAATAAAGAAATTCCTAAATTTATAAAATTTTCTATATTCTTACTTTCTATTAAATTAGTATAAATTCAAATATATATATATATATATATATATATATATATATAAAGTTATTTTTGTTCTTAATATTTTTTTTATATTATACTTTAATTGTAAGTATGAATCTATTTATCTCATGAGTACATGTATTTGGATTTTAATAACTTTTATAGGATGAAAAACTTGATCTACAAACCAATTAAATTATAAGAATATATATATATATATATATATATATATGTTTGATTTAGATGATAATGTTATAAAATAGATATGTTTCAATGGAAAATATCTTAATTAACCATATAAGGTTGTTGATAAAAAAAATTAATGATATATTCTTTTGTAAAAGATATAGAAAATCTAACTAAATACTACATAAGTTATATTCAAGTTTTTTAAAACATATTAATAAATAAAATATTTTTAATTAAAAAAACTATCGATCAAAAATTTACATTCAAGTTTAAAATATCAAATATATTATTGCATGTCAAAACATAAAAATATTATCTTCTATTTAAAACTAAAATTATTTTGTGTCCGTAAAATTTTCGGCAAACACCTAGTAACTTAGAAGTTAGAACTTTTACTTAGTTTTTTTGTTTGGACAGAAGAAATACACATTTTAGTTTTTTTTTTTTGAACAATCACACGTTTTAGTTTATTAGTAGTAAATGTAGGGGAAGGCTAGATTGGTAATGATTTGTATAGAGGACCACCTAAGGGAGACTGTTTTTTTTTTAAATAAAATTATACTAGATTTTGATACACGTTTAAAAAGCGTAGATTTATTTATTTTTTTCCTTGATCCAAAATTAGTTTTAAAAATATCATTATTTTTATTTGAATCTTAACTATTGGATTTTTCTGTTTTTTTCTCCAAAATGTGGTAGTTGTTCGAAATAAATTTAAAGAGGATTCAATGGTATATACATTCAATATTTAAGAATAGCATGTCCTCATTATCGAAATATACCAAGTATACGAATTGTGGATTTTAAACTGAAATTGCTTGTCCCTTTTCTTATATTTGTATTGTATCATAGTTCTAACATCAATCTATACTATTTTATACCTTCCTAGTTTAGAAGCTATTATTTTTTATCCCCGCTTTCAAAATGCAAGGATTTGTTTTATTGATCATTTTGATAATTTTTATTAGAGAAGAAATCATTTAAAAGTTTTCTGTTATAATGTTTAAGTCTTAAGCAATGTTTTCATATCCAATCCATATCCATGATTGAATGGTAGATCCTCTATTAAGCCAAAGAAATAATTCAAAACCCGCCATTAACATGTGATAGGATATAGTGGATCCAGATAAATTTCTAACATATTTGATATTATTTTATATTTTTCTTAAATTACTCAGTTACTTTTTGATATTACATTATTACTCAGATACTGTTGAAGAATATGCTTCAATTAAAAAATATATATTATTTATTTGATAAGTTCTAAATTTGTAGACATTGACAGATTGTTTGTTAACATATTTATCACATATACTAATATTTTAAAAATATTTATAATGTTATTTTTTTGTATTAAGCTTTTCCTTTTCAGAAATTTTAAATAATTATACTAATTTTTATTATAAGGATTTTTTATACTTTAGTTTAAGATCAATATATTCTCTTATGTAAAATATCTAATGAATGCTTTAAAATCACAAAGACTGACTATTATATAATCTAAAAATAATCTGTACATACATCTTGATATGTGTAAAATGAAGAAAATATACATTGTAAGCAATTTATATACGTTAAAAACATTATATAGGATTCACGTTTTAAAATCACCAATAACTGAAGCACCTATATAACTATATTATATAGGACAACAAATTATGTCTTAATTAATATGAAACGAAACATATATAACGTATTAAATGATTGCTCTATGACATATATCAATACTATTAAAAGAGAAGGAGTTTAAAAAAATCTACTTATAAAAGTTGTTTAGACCTATTCATTTGTTAGTGTTACCTATTAGTGTTACCTATTAAATATAACTAAATAGTATAACTGATCCTATATATTTGTTAATTAATGCATAATTAATTATATCACTAAATGAAAACACACGATTCCTAATAAATCTCACTACCGTTTGTCATATTTTTTTCATCCTTTTTTAGTTTCTAAATAATACATAAATTATTTTACCATTACATAAAAACACACGTCTCCTTATAGATTTTTACTTTCGTTTATAATTATATCTTTTCGTTCCAATTCAAATATTAGAAAAAAAATGTTATGTTGTGTGTTTCTACCCATCTATGTGAAACTCAAACATGTGAAATACAATATGACGACTTTATCAAACTAACGTTGAGTGTATCACACTAGAATATGACTTAAAATGAATCAATATTATCACTAAGCGACAAGAACATAATATGAATTAAACTTTTAATAATTTATAGGTTGTAACTTCAATATTATTGATCCAATATATAGCCCACATTATAGTAACTGAAGATCCTTAATAAAAAAGTATAGTTATTATGTATTTACGCACTTTGTAACAACTATTGCTCAACAATTATATTATATCTTTATAAATAATAATTCCAATTTAAAAGAAAAAGTCAATTTTATAAAATAATTATAACATAAATTATGTTAAAAAAACTGGAACTTAAAATTTATTTTTATCAATGCAAACCAGATTAAAAAGGTAAAAATTTTTATTTTCATTAAACCAATAAAAATAAAATCACGATATAAAAAAATTAAAAACAAATAGGTTAAACAAAAAAATTATAAAGCAAGTTAGAATTTGTGAATCCTCAAAAACTTAGTTCAATTTTAAATAACAAGATGAAATTATATATATATATATATATATATATATATATATATAAATTTTTTAAAAGTTTAAAAACATAAAATGAATTTCATCAATACAAAACATGTTAAATAATATATTTTATTTTAAATTAAACCACTAAAATAAAATCAGGGTGAAATAATCTAAACAAACAAATTAAATATATACACCATTATAATCTTAATTAAACCACTAGAAATAAAAATCAGGGTGAAATAAGTTAAACAAATAAATTAAATAAATTAAATTATACTGACACGCAAAATTATCTGAAATCCTTAAAAAGAATTAAACCAGCAAAACTAAACTATATAACTTAATTTAACATAACTACATAAATTTGTTTGATCTATAATTATTAACCTTTTAATGTTCATTATTTACAATAAATAATTAATCAAATATTAATCCCGCGCTTTTAAGCGCGGGTCAAAATCTAGTAACGTATTAAATGATTAATGCTCTATGATTTCTAATATATAGGAACAGATCTGGAAACATAATGGCATGGATTCCGTATTTTCAAGTTATATATTCATCTTATATATTAAAACAGAAGTCATAACCATATTGATTCATGTGTGATTTTTTTTAAAAAAAAATTGACTATCAATAGAAACTTATATGTTTTTTATTAAATCTAATAATAAAATATTTGTAACTATTTTAATCATAATATCTTTGATATCTTTTGATATTTAAGATAAATATAGATTCAAAATTACAAAATATCTATTGAAAAAGATTTAAAAATATCTTAACTTTTAAAAAGTTATGTAAATATTTCACTAATTTCAAATTAGTAAATAACATAGCTATTCATTAATATATATATATATATATATATTGCTATCTTTTATAAAATAAAAATAAAATAAAAATTCTATCCTTTTTATCTATCTTTGATAAAATCATAATGTATCATATTAAAAAAAATTATTATAGTAAAACTGTATTAAATGAATAAATTAATCTATTTTATTTCCATAAATAGAAAATATTAACATGAAAAATATAATATGCTGGCAGAACATGTTAACATTAGTAACTATATAATACATGTATGAAATCAACATATAAAATTTTATATATACAATACTATGTTATCTAAATAAACATAAAATTTTGCTAATTTAGTATAAATAAAATATAAAATAATTTTCAAACATGATTTTTCATACATATATTAGTTTATTTAATATTCAAAAGCAAATTCAAGAAGATAAATATATAATAAGAAACAGTTGAAATTATTGTTATTAACATGTGAACTATAAAATTATTGTGTTTGTAATAGTTTTATAAACATTTAATATGACTAACGTCAATAATAATGTAAAATAAATATTTATGCATATAAAATAAAAATAAAACCCGCGCGGTTGCGCGGATCAAAATCTAGTAGTTAATTAAATGGCATAATAGATAAAAATAATTATCTGCACTAAAAAATAAAGTACTAATGAAATAGTCCAAAACTTTTTGTAAATGGATTTTTTAGTTCTCCTTCCCTTTTAATAGATTAATTGGTATTAATATTTTTCTAATGCATATATGTATCAAAAAATGTAAATTACGTGGTTTACACGACATGTGAATCTGAGAGAAGCCTATGCCATATGTTCTTTCTATAATATGAGATAATCAATCACGCAATTATATCTTGCTATACAATGCAAAGTTTGACTAAGATGTCAAATTGATTCAATGTATAAAATTATAGCATTGATTCCGGTAATATTTATTGGTTATTACTCTAACAAGAATCAGTAAAGGAAGGTAGATGTAAAAAGATACGATTTGAAAACTGAATTTGACATGCTTCTAAAAATGTAACTTCATTTTGAATAACCGCTGACTGACTATAACATTTTGTTAGGGTCAACACATTGATACCCCATTTAATACGCCGTACGTTTCAAGATATACGTGATAATATGTGTATATAATATAAATTATAGAGTGCTTTCAAGAGACACAAAACAAATAAAATATCAACCAGAATTAAGATGGAGCTTGTTGTGATTCTTTTATCGCTTATGTTTTCAACAGCTATCGCTCATTCCACTCAAAGTACAGTACCTCTCAGATCTTTCAAGGTTAGATTAAAACACACAACTTGAGACAAACAGTTTCTTCTACTATTTAGATTATCGTGTAACATATAACCTTTTTTGTCCTTGACAGATGAGTGAAAATGTAACATATGATTGCATTGATATTTACAAGCAACCAGGGCTCAAGCATCCTTTGCTCAAAACCCACAAAATTCAGGTGCATTACCTCAGAGTTTCATCTCCTGCGTTTTATTTGTACTAGTATGATAAATATTTGATTTTTTATTTTTTATTTGAAAAGATGAAATCATCAGTTTCAAGACTTGAGTTAAAGATGCAAACAGGCAAAAACGAAACATCTAACAAAAGGAAGATAGGGTGTCCAAATGGAACTGTTCCTATACTGAGGAATACAAAAGAATATGTCACAAACTCTCAAATGTATGCTGAAAAGCATTTTCATCAGCTATCAGCCGATAGTCCTGGAACGCATGTAAGCACTCATCTCAATTTTCTTAATACGACAGATCTAATACTTTTATGTATATATCATTTGCTAAACCATTAAAGTTTGTGTTGCAAAAAAAAGTCATTAATGTTTTGCCGAAAAAGAGTCACTAATGTAACCGGCTTTTGATAGATTGCTGGAGTAAGATCATCCAGTGGTCCATTTCGTGGTGTACAAGCTTCGTTTAGTGCAAATTCCCTAAACGTGGGAAAGGATCAAGTCTCATATAGTCACATATATATAGGCAGTGGATCGGAAAACCAAGTCAATTATATCTCAGCTGGTTGGATTGTAAGTTTTTATTTTATTTTATAAGTATATTCCTTAATCCATTCCTTATAACAATCCCTTGAGTATATTCTTAAAGTATTAAAATTTCGCGTTGATAGATAAATCCAGGTTTATATGGCGACCAACGTGTTTGGACATTTGGATTTTGGAAGGTATGTGGCTACCAACAAATTAATGTTTGATGAATGATCAAATAGTAACAAGTATAATATCAAATATTATTTAATAGGGTAAGGATGGGAAAGGATGTTACAATACCGCATGTTCAGGGTTTGTTCAAGTATCAAAGAAGATTCCAATTGTCGAGCCCCGTGATCTTAAGACAGGGGTTCCTGGTTGGGTGCGATATTCCATTCATCAGGTTAATACTTATTATCAGTCTTATAAGCAAACTAGTGATCAAAATTTTTGACTATAAACTGATAAATGGATTTGTCTTGTCTCTTAATTTTCGAAAAAGGATAAGAATACAGGGAACTGGTGGATTACGGAACTTATGGAAGATGCACCTAATGAAGATATCGGTTATTGGCCAAAAGAACTATTTAACCTTTTAGACAATGGTGCAAATATGGTTGGAGTTGGTGGTGTGGTACAGGCTTCACGTGATGGTTTAAGCCCTCCCATGGGTAATGGTAATCTTCCAAATGCAGGCCGTCTGGATTCAGGACTTTTCACAAATATTGAAGTCTTGAATTCCAACTATGATCAACATAAAATGAATGATTATCCTACAGAGAATTTGTTAGATAGTGAGAAATGTTATGGGCTAAGAATTGGTACGGTAAAACGCTTCCACTATACTCGTCTAGGTTTTTTTTTCAATTATGGTGGTCCGGGAGGGATTTCATGTGGGGTATGACATTTGCCAACATTTACACTCTTTAAAATTGGCTTACTGCTTTAATAAACTGGATCTACTATATTGTCAGCAAAATTAACGCATTGAAACAGTTCTATCCAGTCGACTTATATCGATGCTTTTAGTCTCTAACGAAAACAAAGAATAAACTGATATAGTTTGCAAGAAAAAAATAACTGATATATTTTGCACGTATGCTTGATTTTGGGATATGTATAACCATGAATAAAGTCGACAAAAAGTTAGTTCTAATCTTAACAACTTTCAATTTGTTTTTCTATTTATCTCGTATATTGTACCGAATTTATTATAAACTAACATTTATTTTTGAATAAACCAGAGAAAAGTTTAGAATTGAAAACATAATGTCAAAATTGAGATAGGAAAAGGCACAACAAAAATTATAGAGTTTGAAATTGACCAAATGTTAGTGCTGGTCTAGAATATAAGTTACAAAATCATGTGCTTCCATCGAGAATATAATATATGAACCATCAGCCAATCTTATGCAAACCAATCGGTATAGTTTATTTGGCTAAGGCCTGAAAATAGTGACCATGAGGGCCACAAATGGTATCAAGTATCAACCTGTTTCTCAACAATGACCTATGTTTAATTGAATTATCTGCCTATAATTAACCGAGTTTTTGTTCAAGAGTTAATGACAAAAAAAAAAGAAAACCAGAACTAACCAGAGCGGCCATTTGTTCTAATGGTAAAACGGTAATTTAAAAGGATATGAAGCCTTAAACAAGAAAAGATCTGACAAATCCCGATGCTCTCACATTGAAGGATGAAGCTAGTTTCGTCTAACACCATGATTACCATGATTAATCCCGGATTTTTATAATGAGGTTCTTATCGAAAGTTAAGATAACTAAAAAAAAATTAAGAATCAATTTTTAAAGTTTTTATTTAAGAACTGGTTCTTAAATCTTTATTTAAGAATCAATTTTTAATTTTTTTTAGTTAAAAATTAAGAAACAATTTATTAATTTCCACTAAGAACCCCAATTTAAGAACTCATGGTTAATCATGCTCTAAGAGCATCTCTAAAAATATTTTCTACTTTCAAAGATTGCAAAATTTTATATTTAAAGTTTGCAAAACTTTATTTTTAAAATTTTGGAACCTTTGAAATTTAAAGGTACTATGTTCTAAAGATAAAACTTCAAATTTAACTTTAAAAATTATTTGTATTTTATAGTATAATTCTTATATTTATCATAACTGTTAAATTTCTAATTTTTTTATAAATAACTAGCACATATATAAAAATATTACATCAATATTAATTAATAAAATATTACACCAAAATATAAAATTATAAATAGAAATATATAATTAAATATTAAACTACAAACAAAATACCACATCAAGTCTTGTAATATTGTGTTTGTCTAGTTCTAGTTTTAAAGTATTTTAAATCTTATTTTGATGTTTTGTTAAAAAATTATGTGTAAAATTTAAATTTATTAAAACAATTTTAAAATATATTAGATAAGAATTTTTAAGGATTAAAACGATAAATAACAAAATTATAAAAAAATTATAAATATGATGTATAATTGTACGGACCAAAATGAAAATAAAAATATGAAATTTCAAATTTGAAGTTTTGAGTAGTGACACTCTATATCTGAAGTTTCACTACTTAAAACTTCAAAGTTGAAGTTTTGTTTTTTTTCTAAAGAGCCAAAAAATTTCATATTTAAAGTTATCGAATATCTTTTGAAGATGCTCTGATACCGACAAGAAACACAACCATACGATGCAGAACCAAAACTTTGTAGGACTACAACATGGTAAAATGAAATCTTTTGGAAACAACGACAAGAGTGTCCAGGAAAGATTGTTGTTTGCAAGCTAAGGTCTTAAAATCTAATCGTATTTTAGGGTGTTTTTCTACTTCTTGACAATGGTAGTAACTGGTCAACAAGCAGATGTAGTAGAAGCAAGGACTTAAAACTCGGCTTTTCTCAGTTTAAATCTATGGAACCGGTTAGTTCATGATGATCCTTTCCGGTGTGTAGATCTACACTGAGCCCTTTATCCTTTTAATTTAATTAAGGGTAACTATATCTGAAATAACCAGCTAGCCAAATAGACTAAAGGATATGCAAGATTAATCACAATAGAAATATTTGTTATAAAACGTCCAGATTTAGCTGCCATGAGTTTCATGAGAAAGTCCATGCCACGTTTAGGCCAAACATTAACGTTGTGGAATACAAGTTTTGTATCAGAAAAATTTCAATTAACGATTTGTTTACCTAGAGAAGCAATGCAACAAGGCAGGAATAATGAGACAACCTTTTCGAGTGAAGAAATTGGGACCATTGAGCTCAATATATAGTAAGCTTGATGTAAACTTACTCTACTTTTCTTGCAGTAGATTCAGAGGAAATAGAAGACAAGGGGTAGCCAAATAGAGAACATACCATCTCACTAACACCATCAAGAAGTAAAGGTATCCTTCCAAGTCTGTAGAGATCTGGCTCCAAACCCCTTCAACTACGTGACTGGCACTCTTTGTATTCACCAATAAATTATAGAGGCTGCACAAAAAAGTGCATAAATATTATTAGTACTTAATACAACTACTTCCAACCAGGTCAAGAAATCTGGAGACCATCAATAGACCAAGGAAGACGAGATGAGTGGGAAACAAAGAGTAGACAAGTCTGAAGATGCAGATGGTGGAGAAAAGGATGATGAAAAGGCAATATTCAAGTGGGCTACTCATGAGAAGAAAAGGTTGAAATACGTACCCTTTTAGTGTTCTTTTGTCTGACTCTAGAATCAAAGTTCCAATGGATATTATGAGATTGGAGTTGAGGTTGGTCTCTTTCTACATGTCTTTGTGTTTATAGAAGTTTTAGGATGTTCTTCTCATGTAACCTATGTCAATCTAACATGTAATACGTACTTTAATTGTTTTCTTTATTAAATCATATTTTTCCTTTCCACTCTTTTCAAAGTAAACAGTGTCTAAAATCTAATCTCGATTTATAAAAATTCCTACATTTTTGGATTCTTTTGTAAGAACACTAAAAACATTATTAGAAAGGAGTATATTAATTTATTAAGAAATTAAATTTTATCACTACAATAATTCGTACGTGTGAATTTGTCATGTTATAGTTGATTTTACTGCTAACATACAATTATGACTAATAATTTATCATTTCGGGTAAACAAATAACATTCGTATCTCTGACTTAGTAGTGCTGGTTAATAGTGCTTTTTTCATATTCTGTTGGAAACCTAAAACTAATATGTATTACATAATAGATTATATAATACTGTTTATATAAGTGAAATCATATCTTAAATTCAATTTATTGTAAAAAAGATCAATACTATTTTCCAAAATTGGTCAAAGAATGTAATTTATTTTCTAAATACTAGATTTACATTTTCAAGTTACTTGAAATCTTTAATTATATAACTATTTATGTCTGCGCAGAGTTGACATAACATAATTGTAATGCTGCATTTTGTTCTGTATTTTTGTTTCTTATTTTTTTCCAAATTTCTTGTTTCTTATCTAAAGCCAATAGTTTTAGTGTTCTATCCCTATGTAAACTCTATTGCTTCTGAAGTGCTACATTCTGGTTTTCGTGATGTATTTTTTGGCGATGAGTCTACTTTTTAGATGAGGGTGTTTCTTTCTTAGTTGACGATTTTTCTATTTCAGGATTTTGTTATATCTGCTTTAAAGTTTTTTTGCTAATGGATTCATACTAAAAGACGTCTATTCATACTAAAAGACGTCTTTTAGTACACAGCTTTTGATTGTCTCTAGTCACTACACAAAACAAAAGTAAGCATACATAAACCATCAGGAGCCTGTCCTGATTAAATATTTATGGACCCATCTTGCCCACAAAGAAATTTCCCTATCAAAAGATCCTCCCACAGTGACAAAGAGTCCACAGAAACTTCCTCTAGTACCTCCTCCGAACCAACCCCATCCTGCAAATCAATCTCCATATCGTATTTTGTTAGCATCCTCTGATCTGCGTAAGTGAGACAGCCCGAGAGGATGACTGGGGCAAAACGGTGCGTTTTTAATGAAAACTAGTGGCTGAAATAGTAAGGTGGATTTCAAATGGGCCACAGCCGAATTTGATGATTATTCAACGATTCGCTTCTCCCAAGACTCTAAGATTACTTTTTACCTATGAAAAGATCTAACCTTTCGAGCTTATGTGAGTGATTGAATTGTGTAGGAGCTTCCTCTTAAGTTTTAACATGATTTATAGATGTCTCATCTCATGTGAGGGAACTTATATATATGGAAAGAGCTATCATCTTGAGTCTGTATGAGTGAATGATGTAAGAGCTTCGTTTTAACATTAATACGAATAACCATTTGGATCTTTCATCGTGAAGATACTTATGTGTTTAATATTGGAAGAAATGAATCATCTCTTTTATTCATCTCTCTAATATTCACATCTCGTCTTCCTGCAGTTACTGTCTTCTGATGTTTCTTCCAAAAGGAGTTCAGAACCTTCTTATGCTGGCATTCCCTTATATTGCTGCGCCAGAGGAAGAAAGGATGGAGAGTTTGTTGCTGCTGGTGTGATACTGTTACGAGAAGATTTGAGGCCTCTGGTAGTGGTAGATACCCCTGAACAGAGAAGCTTCTATTGAGCAATCATCGGACACAAAGGTTGGTTGCTTCCATCTATCTGAACTCGTAATGGATCAAACTTATGGAGATAGCCTAGTGAAGAAGTGTCACTAATCTTTTTTTTTTTAAATCTATATTTTAAATATTATCTTTTAGTATGTTTTATTTAATAAATAATTTTTTTTTAAAAGAAATTGATTTTTTTTTTTTAAAAAAACCCCTAATTAAGAACTCCCATTGGACCATTCAAAGCGGGATTTTCTTAACTAGAGTTCTTAAACCCATTAAATACATTTTATATAATTAAACAAATATTAAGAAATCCATTTAAGAGTCATGAGATAGATGTGAACTCGTT